GCAAAAATTTCAAGTAAAAATTTTACTTTCATATAAGTATATGTCAGTACTCTCAATTATATTCAAAATGAAAAGAGCAGCAGGCTATTTGCAAACTATAAGAAATCGTAGATTCATCATAAGAAATTTATTTTTATGACAATGGAATATCTTCTTGTTATAAGACTATTTTGAATAATCTTATCTTCATACAATTATTTGGTGTTTGAAATTTTGTGCTGAATTTTTGAAAAGTTATTTATTAAAATTTTAATTCGTATTTAAGATATTTGTAGAACGTCTTTTATTTAAATAAATTTGAATTTATATTTGAAGCTTTATATCTTTTATAATGAATTGTTTACAAATAGAAGAAATTTTGACAAATTAATTTTATACATCTAAAAAATCATTGTTGTAGTTAATGTGCTTTCCTAAATTATTGTAATTTTACAAAAACTTCTGTTTTTATACAATTATTTCCTTGTTCTTTGATTATACTTGAATATATTTATCGATTATAGATTACTTTTTCTATAATTATCATATTTGTTCTATTTATAAAAAAATATTTAAAAGTAAACATTTTTATGAGTTATTATATGATAATTGACGGGATTGTGGTAAAAAATAATTTTTTAGAGTCAATATAATATTAAGAAAAGAAAATATAAATAAATTTATTACATTCCTAATTATAAAATAGTTATGTTTAATAAAATTTCATTTCACTACAAAACTGACAAATAACTTTTTATAAATAAAACATGATTGATAGTTGCTTTGCATGCTAAATACATAATAATATGTGGATGGTTGTAAAATAATTTGTTATGATTTTGTTAATTATAGCCTACTAAATTTATTATTTTGATAAAAAATACTTTTCAAACTATAATGTAGATAAAATATAATTAGGGATTTTTTAAAATAAAATATTACCTAAAATTAATTCAATTAAGTAGATTTATTATGGTTATATTTAAGAATTTTTAAGGTAATTTTTAAGGTTAAATAATACTAGAAAATATTAGAAAAGTTTAAACAAATATAGAAATGATATTGTATTTATAGGAATAACTCTTATTTAACAATTGCATTGATTTTATAATTAGAAATGTTTATTATTTGTAAAATTTTTTTCATTTTTTACACTATATCAGTATAAAACATAGTTTTATTCGATTTTTAATTTATATATTTAATAGTTAAAACCACTATTATTTTCTATTTAATAAGATGGTAGAATATTGAAGAAATCAATGTTACCCTATTGGATTGCGTATTTTCTTTTAATTATTTTTTCAACATTACATACACGTTAAAATATAATTTATAAATCGATAGATATATATTTTTAAAAAGAATTGATCAGATAGTTTATTTATTTGATTATCCGCTAATTAATGATTGTAAAATAATTATTTTTAAAATTTTAATATCTTATTTGCATTTCATCAAATGAATATTGATAATAAAAAATATTGAATTTATTCATACCGAATATTTATACTGAACATTTATATTTTCGACTTTTTAGTAATTCAAGTAAATTTATTAAATGAATAAGATCGGTGATCAAAATGATTATTGCATATTATTTTTTGTTTTGAAGGGTCGGTTTTCTTTATCTAATTAATAATAATAATGTCTTAAAAACTTAATTGTATGCCAGTCTCAATATTTTGATTAATAATTTCACATATAATTTAATAGCAATGGTAGCTTTAAATCCTTTCATCTAGTATATTAAAAAAAGAAAAAAATAAATACCATAATACAATGATAATAGCCTTAGAATTAATATCTATATTTGGTTCTAAAATAATTCATTAAGTTCATAAATTTTTTTTCTTTTTTTTTTCGACGCAACGTTGCATGAGAGATATGAAAAAAATGAGCTGTTGTAGATAAAAATATTACGGTCGTCGTGTGGTACGGAATCGTGTAAGCCCAACGGTACACACACAAGCACGTATGCATGCGTGCACGAGCGCACGCATATAGCGCACCTTTCCTAAAGTTAATATATTCTGAGTCATTAAGTCTCGAAACATGTTTTTACGATGATATTTGAAAAACATTTATTACAATGACGCTTCCATTGTTATTTTTTTTCATTTTTTTTCATTTTTTTTTTCATCTAATATATCAATAATGAAGCTATTTTTAGAAATTCCCATTTCTCATAGATAAAAGGTGGTCAGGTTTCATATTGTGCGACGCATTGGAATAAAAGTATCATCGACAACAACAAATATTTGTCGAGAGAGTATCAATCTTTAATAAGCTGAGAGCCAAGGAAGCGGTATTTTAGGCCAGATGCGTTAGGCATTTGGGACAAGTTTTAGTCAACCAGCTTCGCCACTACGTAATCGCGATTTGAAGGTAGAAGAGCGCAGTGTAAATTATCGACATAGAGCAATGCGGGTGTTAGTTGTGTCTTTTCTCTCTCCAAAGCCCGAGTGCCAGAATTATTATGCGAAAAGTTCTTTGCGCTTCTCGTTTCTTCCCTGATGGACGATTAAAACTTCCGGCACGAGCTCCAAATTCAACTGCACGTCGAATTTATAAATTTATCCGGGCTACAACGGTACTGCTTTACCGAGGAAGCTGGCGGTTGTCGGGAATTGAAGTGAAGCTATGCTGCGGGGACTGGGCGTTAAAACTATACTTTTGATTTGCAAGTGGGGAACTTGAGCTTTTTTACCCTGAGATTAAATGAGCTTCAACTTTTATAGATGCCCTTCCTCCCGGGACAAGCTTTATCTACTTCCGGAAAAGTCGGTTTTTCATAGAGCTTCTTGTTGCTGAATATTCTTCATTTTCTTTTTAATGGATAGGACAACTTTGGTCGGTTAGGTATCGTTTCAATTTCATTAATTACCGTTCAGCTTTCCCCATATTTATTTCCTACCATCTAATTCGCATTTTCATTTCTTTATTCACATAAATCTAAATTTAAAATTTATAAAATTCCTGCTCCTCTGATATCAGTTTAATAAAAATCAAACATTATTGAATATATATGAAATAAATCGAATATATAATAAAACATTATTTTATACTACCTTTTTTTCCCTTCCACTCTCGCACACACGTACGCACGCACGCACGCACGCACGCACGCACGCACGCACATAACATCACATCACATCACATCACATCACATCACATCACATCACATCACATACAGATATATGCCCGTAGAAAATACGTACATTAGATATATTAAAACTTAAAATTGTTGAAATATTTCGAATTATTTATTGATATATCCTACGGTCATTAATGTAGCAGACTTCATTCGTTTTTAATTGTAATGTGAATTGTAAATGTGAAAAATTGATATTTATTTTTATTAAATAACAATAAATAAGTAATATTCATTTTGAAATGATGAGCTTTATGAAGTTACGATTAAATTTTTATTCTAACATATATGCAAAATTTTAGAAATAGGTATAATTGATACAATCGTCTCCATATTTAGTTCAAAGGTGCAAAAAATATTTACAAGTAATACTCGATAAAAATATTTAAAGTAAAAGAAATAAGTTTAGCTGATGTCTATATACTTAAATCTAAAATATACTTATATCTTAATAAACCATTTAGCAAATATGTGATAGGTTAATAAGAGCTCTAAAATTATTTCGAAACATTTAGAAAGATAATGAAATATAATTGATGATCGAACATATAAAAACTAATTATATATATTGGGATCTTTTTTTATAATTAATAGAGCTTATTGGTATTTTCACAGAAAACACTAAAGTATAACAGGCTTGAAACTTTTATCTTGCTCAATTGTTTAAAGTATCTATACCATTATGAGAATGGTGAAAAGTTAAAGATTTTTCGATAAATATTCCATTACCGCTTACAGAAAAAAAAAATAAAAAATAAAATACTTTTGCGTATAACTGATTTACAATTTCATCAAACGTCGTTTAATGTATTTCCCTGTAAACAATGACGTGTATAATATAATTGTTTTAGCAAAAGTATTTTACTCGCGTAAAGAAGGAGATTTATTTGAGACTGAATAAAAACAAGTTTAACCAGAGTATTAAGAGAAAAAATACATGAAAAGTAGGTGGTTACATTGGCAGTAATAGATGCGGGTATGTAGTAAAAAATATATAATAATATATCTTAAGAAACGGGATTGTAGTATAAAGAGAATGTAGCGAGAGAGAGAGAGAGAGAGAGAGAGAGAGAGAGAGAGAAATGGTAATTTATAAAAATAATAATATAATGTAAGAGAGAAAATCCATCGGTGAAATTGAAACTGAAAATAATCTTTCTACGAAGCATTTACTCGTCTGAGTCAATTGGGCCACCGTCCTTCTCTCATACTCGCTTATCTCCTTTTGGTCGATCGCAAATTAAAGCCCTTAATCCCTTCTTTCCTTCTTTAGGCAGTAATCTTCGCACCGGTATTCGTACAGACGCCTTGCCAGGGTCCGCTTTTCCGGCGAGTAACGTCCTCAGGAGTCCGTGGTAGCTGGGGCGGGAGGTAGGTGTAGGTGTCGCGTGGGAGTGAGGCAGCAACATTGGCCGCTACCGCCGCCGCTACCGCCGCCGCTACCGCCGCCGCTGCCGCTGCCGCCGCCGCTGCCGCCGCCGCCGTCGACATTCCACGTTGAGAGCGCGCCGCTGTGCCGGCAGAGGGTACGTGCATCGCCGGTGCCGGAGAGAGGGAACGCAGACGCGCTCCAGGCGCTCCGCTGCCAGGGTGCCGAGCTCAGTTCGCTTGAGGATTGCCTCGAGGCCGGCCGGTGTTGTGCGCAATTTTAGCGGCACTCACGTACGCGCGCACACGCATACCTACAACATATTATTTATATATAAATATATATATATATATATATATATATGTGCGTGTGAGTTCGCGTGCGTGCGTGTATAAACCCACATATACAGCCACCCATAAACACACACACACACACACACGCGCGCGCGCGCACGCACAGACATATCTATATATATATATATATATATATATATATATATACACCACGCTCTGTCTGGACACTCGTGCGCGTCCAGGAGGCGGGGAAGGCGCGCGTCGTTTACTGTGTCCCCGCCACTGTTAGTGTCCAGGTGACGGAGGTGCGTCAGATAGCGGGAGGATTATTTGCTCCAGGTCTCGTCGACACGTGAGTTCACGACACTGCTTTTTACAGTTGCATGACAATCAAAAAGCGTCCCTCGTTTCTCGCATTTATTCACTGTCGGGTAACATGGATGGGCACTTCATCATCCGAGCAACGTACACTAGCTCTAATGAGAGCCGTTATACATCCAGCACAGGAGTCACTTTACGTCCTGTGCGAAGCGGACAAAGAGAAAGAAAGAGAGCGTTGGTGAGCTGGGGCAACGAGTGCAGAGCGTAGTTTGACGTAAGGGGGAGGGACGAAGTAGGGAGCGCGGACCTTGGGAGCAACCGCGATACGTATACGCTCAGTATGTACGTTACCTGTTCTATAAGGCCCTGGATCTGACAAACTATCGAAAGAAATTCGAGATCTCCGATAGGCATACGATCTTTCCATTGATTTTGCGTTCAATGTAACTTTAACCGTCGCTGCTCCGCCAATTTCTCCAACGAATCGTTCGTTTATAGAAGCTACGCCGGTCGCGCACGTGGCGATTAATATTTGGTTAATATGATGTGTCTTCAATCTTTGCGAATTATACACGCGTAGATAAACTAATGACTTGGTGGATCGCTCCTCGAATTTCGCCATTGAAAACGTAATTGAGTAAGTGATTATGACTGCGTAACAACCGATAACACGATGCACTACTCTTCAAAATAAACAATAATTATTCCTTTTCCCATCAGCCAACTAATTTTGTAAAATTTACAATTTTAAAACGCTATGTTGCGTTAGCCCCATATTAGTGGGTAGGTTGTGTTAACCCCTCGATATTGTAAATACCTGTATTACTAATTTATATTTTTCTTAAATTTAAGATAGCGCGAATTTTGTGCGAATGCGAGCAATTCGTGGGCCTCGATTCGATGACCATTTCATATCGCGACTGTGAAATTTTACGATTACGGATAGAAACTTTATGTCCTCTAATATCCGCCACTATGCACATAGGTATAATAAATATTCGCATATAGATTTTCCATTGCTCGTGGAAAAGCAGTCTTACATGTTTTGTAAATCGTGCGTGGAATGGGGATGCAGGCCGATCGTTACTCTCCTGCTTCGCTAAAAATCAGATAACTACTTATTCGATGCATCGTCAATCCTCGAAAATTACTGTAAGATGAGCTTTACGATATTGATTGAGTGCGGGAAGTAAAAATTTCACGAACGAGTATCAGCGCATTCAATCGGATGCTCGACATTGATATTCCAAGCGCGTGTGAATTTAATCAGTTGTGCATTTTCGCGCTGGCAAGGCTGAAATAATACCAAACCCGTTAAAATAAAATGATATCCTCTGAAATTCTTTGAATCGGATGAAAGCCAATTTCCCATTTCAATTACGCCGTGGTCAGTGGTTGAATTGTAAGAGATTCCGCGGCGGCGAGGGGCGAAGGGGCGATTGGCGGGCAATGGAATGGGACTACCGAGACCGGGTGGTGGTGCCCATGGGGTGGGGGTGGGTGAAGAAAATTGGTTGAAAAAGCAGCTCCTCCAATCCAACGTGCCTCGGCTCTTGAACCACTCACCACACAACGCGCTTGTTGTACCAATAGGTGTAAGCACGTGAGTGGAGTTGGTGTGTGGCTGCCGTTTGACTTTCCTGCGCGTTCGCATAACGACTTGGCAATTACATCGCAATCAATCTCGACGATTGTAATTATACGTCCTGCTCCTACGAGTTTTATTCGCAATTTTGCCTACGCTACTCGAGCCTTCTAATATTCAGCAGCTGATAATTAGTGGGCTGCTTGGGCGGCACTTCCCTTAGATTTTTTTTTTATTCGAACCACTTTAGTTTACCGTAGTCTTATCTTCGCTCCATCAAACATTAAACGCTTACGTGCCGCTTCCTTTCTCGCTTCTTGACTTTACTCTTCAGCCAGCTTGTGAAATGCAATTTTTCAATTATTATGATAATTCTATAGTTCGACCTAATTTACACAGATTCCCCTTTTACTTTTAATCACACGTTCTAACAACAATAGGAACAGCTGCGGCTATGTATATTTTTTAAGCAAAATGACACTATTCAGCGCTTGAAAACTGTGTTATAAATTTAAGTGACAAATTTTTGTTTACCTACATATACTGCCTAAAGTAAAAAGAGATAAAAAAAAATTATTTTGATTAATGCTTGAAAGAGGAGTGTGTTAATATGGCTAAGGGGAAGTCGTGATATGAATATTTTATGCGTCTTTTTTTCTTTTTCTTTCTTTCTTTTTTTTTTTGTAACATTTAAATTTAAAAGATAAAAAGTGTTCAAATATAAAGTTACGAAGTAGAAATATTTCTTTTAAAAATTGAGTTTTATCATTAGATTTTAATAACGCTGACAAAATGAGTGAAATTATAAAATTAATTATTTGATTAACTTTTAAAATTTTGATATTTACAAAATATTAAAACGATACCATGAATAAATATCCGCGCCTTTAAATACGTATGTACGGCTCAATGTGATTCGATTATAATGAAAGTTCATGGGCAGAAATCTGTTTGTATCTTAAATATTTTAATTTATGAAAAAGTTAAGTCAATTATTATATATCAATGCTAATTAGATAAAAACAATCCAAACGTTTAATGGTTGTAAAAATCTCTTATTTATTAAAAGTAATATTTTCGTGTTCGAATTTTTTCTGTCTTGTGTATGCATAATGCATTATGTCTTCTGTACAATTTTTTCATTATTTTATATAATAAGCAATAATATAAAAAAATATAATTTATTAAAATAAATTTAAGCATCTTCATTTCATAAATATTAAATACGTAAAAAACGTTTAAATAATACTTTTCTACTTGTTCGTAAAATTTTTTTCGTAAAATAATGCATTCGACATATTAATGTGGCCAAAAAAAGCAAATACAATTTATTCTTAAATAATATTTGTTATCTCATTATTTCATATTTGGAATAATAAATGTTGAATATACATTCAAAAATACGTATTGCTTATTCAGTATACTAATTAATTTATATACGGATATAACATTTATTCACATAATGCATCGAAATAAATATTTCACTAAATTTTATAAAGACCAAATCAGAACGTTCAATTATAAAATTCAATTTCAAAAATATTTTAAATCAATAGTCTAAACTAGATTATTCTCGCTATATTTCACTTATAATTTATATTATTAATTGCAATTTTAATAATAATGGAATGCTAATTAAATAAAGTTTATTAATCAATAGACAACATATTTGATTATTATAATTATAAAAAATACTATCACAAGCCATAATAAAGATTTATAAGCAATTCGATTTTGTAAATAATTCGCTCTTGATAGCGACGTAGTGGATTTAGTAAAATAAGTAAATATTAAATGTAGAAGAAAAAAGGTTATTATAAAAAATAATTTAGATTTAGATGGTAATAGATTGTAATTGTAACTGTAATTAGATTTAATAATTTAATATTTTTAAAATATAGAAAATAGAATTGAAAATTAAAGTGTTTCTATTGTATGTTTAATAAATTAATTAATTAAACGTTTGTAGTTTCTATTGGGAAATATATTTTTTTGTTATTATAATGAAATATCGTAAATGAGTACACTGTTTATATGATATGCTCTTATAAAGTTATATAATTATTAAAACTGTGTTAAATAAAATTTTTTGTAAAATTATTCTCATATATTTAAAATAATAGTGAAATCTAAGAAATATGTTCAAAAATTTTGCCTCTTCTATGATTTTATCTTATTACTTATTCACCTAAAATAAGTATTTATGTTTTTTTTTTTTTTTTTAATACATATACCCATTTACTTTTGAAATTAGTAAATGAAATATTAAAATTTAATAAATTTAATTATACGAACTTAATACGTAGCTTATTAAAAATGTAAGTATCATTATGGATTTACTTTATGAAACCTCGCAATATAAATCAATTTTATAATTTATTTGAACAATAAATTATTATAAAAATTCAACTAAATTTACAAACGATTTAATTTAATCAGGTTTATTTTGAGAATATATGAACAATGTCTTCTATTGCATAAAACTCTGTTTTAATCCCAGGCTCAATGACAAAATTTTCAGTATTTTTAACAAAATTATAAATTTGTTCTAAATTTCTAGGCTTAAAGTAAATTTTTACTAATAAATGATCTGATGATTGTCAATAGGTATTCAACATTATGGTAAAAGAAAAACAAAACAAAACAAAACAAAAATAAATAATAAAACGACGGAGAAACAGAAGAAATGGATTCGAAACAAGTGAATTTTTAATTTAAAAGAGTTTGGATACTAAGTTTTATAATATTGATAAAGTGCCGACTTTGATCATTTACTTGCATCATGCGGTCAGAGGGAAAGCTCTCCTATGCCCTACGAGTCACTTCGTTTTAAATTTGAAACACTCATTTTACGTATCTTCATCATACTGGTCATTTACCTTTGATATTGTATAACTTTTATATATGCATTCTTTTTTATAATTATTTCGATTGTATTGCATCTGCGTATCTATGTATAATTAAGCTACTCTATAGTTCGATCCTAGAAGAAGTTCAGAAATGTGAGTGGCGGAGTAAAGATGAGGAACGAAAAACTAGGCAGCCATCGATTTCCTTATCGACAAAGCTTGTCTTGTCTTATCGAGCTATTCGCGAATGGCTCGATTAGAATTTATTAAAGATAAAAAAAAATACATTCGCGAAGACATTGTTTAAAAAACGATTGTTGAGAAAACTATAATCAGATTTGCCTATAAAATAACTAGTTAGCTTTTTATATATTATAAAAGAGCTCGTGAATGTGAGTTAAAATAGTAATTAAGAAGGAAAAGCGCACACCTGCTCATTTAATTAGCTGAAATATCTGATCTGGTTAATGACTGCTGTAAAGTTATCGATACAAGAACCGAATTTAATTTGACAAAAATATTTTTTATTTCTATTTTTTATTTCTTAGATTTAAAGCGATATATGTTGTGATGCACAAGTTCTGTTGTTATATTAAA